CCTAGGTCGGGGGGGCTGTTCTAGCAATCTCACGAGCCTCTCATCATGTTAAACCCTTCCTCAGTGTCCCTATTAAGAGCCTCTGGGCACCATCTTATATTTATATCCTCATACCACCCTCAAATCTCCACTACGCAGTCCTTTATACAACCTGCCCCAAGTATCTCTGATATTCTCAAGTATCGTCTACGTCTAAACCCTATCAACTTTATGTTTTATGTTTTATGTCTATMCGGCTGATATGTTTCCAACCTCACTCTTGCCTTATTTGCCCGCCCTCTTCTGAGGGCAGTAGGTTTCTCTTGTCTCATCATGGAGAATCCTTGCTGARCCCCTATGGCCAAMATAGGCCCCTTATTCTGAGTTAAACTAAAAACCGTCGCAAATGCCTGAGACCAGGTAGACCATCCCTATTCTAGTGTAGTTGAARCTACTTGAAGCTTATCCCCAGCAGTATATTCAACAGCATATTCAACACTCAAAATATATCCCATGTCCCTTCCTCTGTCATCCCCCCTTTTTTCCATTTTCCAATGTTAACTTGCCCTCCCATTCCCCACTACCCCCTACCATCTACCCTCCTCTCTCTACACCTGATTCCTCCCATTCCTTTGTAACCTATCTACCCTATCCCCAATCTATGCTATTGACTGACTGCTGCTTGTGTCCTCCGTGTACAATCTGGGCACGTAGTGTTGCAGGGCCGGTCCAAACTGCAACTGTCCTKTAGTAAAGTCGTGCACYAGCATTTGYGGGAACGGAGCCCATCTCTGCCAAAAGTCTGCCGCCTTGGCCTCCCCTGCGCGTCTACTTCGGTGCAGATCCGCCAATATAGCAATGCGAATATTCTCCATTGCCCGCTCCTGATAGGCCCGAAGTGGCGGGAACGTTCCTTGCCTACATCGTTCATTTCTCAGTGTCCACAAAGCCCATAACACTGCTGCCCTCACGATCTCTTCCACCACCATTTCGGCCATGGCCCGCCTACTTGCCTTGCCCAGGGTACCCAGCAAGATATCTGTGTGGGTCGTTTCATCCACCTGTAACGGTGTCTTGTCTGCCATTTCCTGCGCCCACCACTCCCAAAACTCCTGCACCCTTGGGCATCGAACAAAAAGGTGGGGGATCGTTTCCACCTGGCCGCAAGCTGCTGCACAGGTTTGGTCCTTGTGACAACTCTTGGCAGCCTGCCACTGCGCAGYTGGGATTGCCAAATGRYAAATCTKCCATAGCAGGCCCGCCTGCTTTTGGTCTGGCAAGGCAGCCATGATGTTGCATTGTTCGTTCCACTTTCGTTGAGTCCAATTAGCAAGGCACACGTCCGGGAGCCACTCCTGTTTAGCCCACCTCGCCTTCAGTTCCCCACAGATGTTCACTGATTCCAACAGCGAGTTGTAAACAATCTTCCTGGTGACCTCTTGGAGTGGCATCGATCTCCTGTGCGTCCTCTGAGGAGGCCATTCCCAATCTGCCGGGTTCCAGGCAAGGGCTCTCAACCGGGTTGCGGTGCAAAAGGGTAGGTAGTGTCCAGCCTCTTTCTTCCCTCCTTCACATACCGCAACCGTTTCCACCAGAGCTCGTGCTATTTTCCTCACAGCGTGCAGGTCCTGCAGTGGTTGCCCCAACCCCTCCCATCCCCGTCCCGGCCTGTCCTTCCATACAGTGACCTCCAGGTCCCCATTCGGCAGTACCTGCTTGACTCTATAGAGCCTTTCGGGTGCCTCACTACCCTTAAGCTTGACCCACTGGCCTACTACCATCTCATCTTTTTTTAGCACTTCCACCCATTGAGTCTGAATAGCCTCTCTCATGTCCTTGACCCTTTGGCCCCTCTTCATGCACCCCTGCAGTGCAAGATCCATTTCCTCATATGTACGCCAATCCTTCCGATCCTCGTCCCACAAATGTCCCACCTTGAAAATGCCCTGCTCCGCCCATTTCCATCCATAGGCCCCTCGCGCCCCCTGCCATGGGTAGGGGTCCCCTGCCTCGTCACAAATAAACCGGTTATCAAAGAGCAGCTGGTTAAAAATAGCATCCGCTGTGTCGGGGAGCCGACATCTCACCTGGATCTTCTTCCACAGGGCCAGTTTCTGAGTCCACACAGTCCCCCTCCGAATATGACCCATCGCGGAGCTGCTGAGCAGGCAGAGGTCTACCAGTTCCCTAGGGACCTGGAGAGCATAAGCAAGATGAGACAGCGTCACCTCTTGCCAAGTTGCCCCCTCCGAGCGCAGCAGGGCCCAGATGAGCTGTCGCAATTGAAGTGCAATTATCTGTAAGTGCGGATCCAGCAGGCCCAGCCCTCCAAACCTTCTTGGTTGAATGAGCTTACACCAGGCAACTCTGCAGATAGAATTCTCTGACCTCGCGTTGTTTGACCACAGATGCGCTTGGACCGCCCTCCTAATATATTGGAAGGTACGCCTCCCTGGCATATGAATTGCGCCCGCGTACCACAGGGTGGCCAGCACCGAACTCTTAATCACTATAGCCTTTCCAAAAGGCCCCATGCTCCCTCTCGCACTCCATGCTTGCAGTCTTGCCACCGCCGCTGTGGCCCGTATCGCCATCTGCTCAATTCCTCCATAGCTCGGTGTTAGATTGGCCCCCAAAAATGCCATTCGCTCTCCTTCGCCCACTGTGGGAATGACCCACCCTTCTGGAGGGTCCATCCCCAGAGGCAGAATGGCCCGAGACTTCTGCCAATTCACCCGTCCGCCTGAGTACCTGCAGAAGGTTGCCAGGTCCTCTTTGAGAATGCCCAGCTGCTGAGCTGTTGGAACGAGTACTGCACCTGTGTCGTCCGCAAAAGCTGTAGATTGCAGTTCCGCTCTTGGTCCCGCCTTGAGACTGATAAGGCGGTTGTCGGCCCGCAATATCTCGTGCAGTGACTCAATGTAGATGACATAGAGGGCAGGAGAGAGCGGGCAACCCTGCCTCACCGACCGAGTCACCCGCAACCTGTCCGATCTCACCCCATTGACTTGCATCACAGTYGAGGCTCCCTTTAGGAGGCCACGAATCCAACTGCACAGGATAGGCCCGACCCCCCTTTGCGCCATACTTTGCAGTAAAAATTCCCATCTGACCCGGYCGTAGGCCTTCTCAAGGTCTATTGACACAAAGGCCAGTGCCTGACCTGTGCATTGCTCCTCCTCCAGTATCTGCTGTGCTAATAAAATATTCGACAAGATCTGGCAACCTGCCACAAACCCGGTCTGAGTGGAGTCAATGATACTTGGTAGGACTTCCTTCAAACGGTTTGCCAAAACTTTGGCAAGTATTTTATATAGCGCATTCAGGATGGAGATCGGGCGCCAGTTCCGCACGTCCTCCTTGGCTCCTTTTTTGAAGAGTAAAACCACATACGCATCCGCAAAGCCTTGAGGAATGGTGCCTCCCTTGACAGCCTCGTTATAGGCTGCTGTCAGCAGAACTCCGAAAAAAGTACGGAGTTCCTTATAAAGTTCCACCGGCATTCCATCCAAGCCAGGCGTTTTGAGCCTAGGGAGCTCTGCGATCGCTCGTACCACTTCCTCATGGCGGTCATTATTGGTGCTGCCTTTTTCGTTGCCACTGTAGCAAAGAACTGTCGTGACATTCGTTCCCCCAATGTGATCCATGTCTCCTTGGTGCGCCTACCCCATTTAACCGCTTCCTCTGTCTGCCACTCCCTCCATCCTCGTGCTGCTTCCACTCTCTCTGCCCACCATTCTTCCTCCATCTGGCCCTCCTCAGGGCCGTTGGCCAATTCCTCCATCCTTTGGGCGTGCTCCTCCCCTGTCTTCTTGTGCGCCAAGTAGTTTCCCCACAACAGCTTCTGCAAGATGTTCCGCAAGCTCTGCACTGCTATTATAACTTGTGGCAGGAGCTGTTCCTGAGTGCAGTCTTCGGCCCAGTGACAGGGCCATACTCCGGGCTTTTGAAAACCCATGCTGGAATCGCTTTGGGCGGGCGGCCTACGTCCAGGCGACCCACCGGGAATGTCGCAATTACTGCTGAGTGGTCCGACGTGGCCATCGGTACAATGCGCACTTGCTCCACAGTTTCGTTCAGCTCCCCCGACGCCCATATCATGTCGATGCGACTCCTTCGGGTAACAGTGTTTACCCAGAAAGTAAAGGCCCTCTCCTGCGGGTGCAATGTTCTATACGAATCTGTACATCCCAGGCTCGTCATACCGTTGACCAGGGCCATAGAATCTGCCTCCCCCTGCCGTATAGTTGCTGCGTCTCGTTCCGGATCTACTAGCGAGTTCAAATCCCCTGCTATTATGAGATTGTCAATGTCCGGAACTAAAGTTTGCAGGCGCTCCCACATCCTGCGCCTTGCCCAATTCTGACGGTCCGTAGATGGTAACTACCCCCCATATCGTTTCCCCCCACTTAAGCACCACCCAGGCCCACCTTCCCCTGGAGTCGTAAAACCAGTCTGTTACATCTCCTCGAAAATGCGGGGAGATGAGAATGCAGACCCCTCCCCTAGTACCCTGCGCCGGGGCCCAAATCTGGTGGCCCTTCCACCATAACACCGGCTACCGTTCTAGCTTCATTCAACTTAGTCTCTTGTAGACACACTACATCGATCTGCTCATCTTTCACTTTCCTCGCCAACTCCCTTCTCTTGGGCAGCAGTGATTGGGCCCCCAGGCCTCTCACGTTCCAAGTCAGCAGTTTCAGCCTATTGCAGTTTCCCTGCACTGGCATCCCCTACCACTAACCTAACCCCTAGTACATCCCTTGCTATGTTAAGGTGGTACCTTCCTCTATGTATTGCTGGGGGGGGTACCTTCCTCTCTCTCTCTCTCTTTTGCACGCGTATACAAATTTCTGTTTTTGTTCTTCGGGAAAAAAGGTCTCGATGGACCACAGATCAGCTATGAAACTATTCGGAGCAGATACTGT